CACCCGCCAAACTTGATGTGACCCCAGCCCGGCGCGGCGGCTGCCCCTCTCACCTCCCCGCGCCCTCCCCCCACCGCCACTCCGCCCGGCACTCCCGGAGCGCACCACTCACCGCGCCCCTTCCCACTTCCCCGCCGGGGCCGGGCGCCGCTCTTGCCCTCCGCGTTCCCTTCCCCTCGTCCCCTCCTCCCTGCACCATGAGCAACCTGAAGCCGGACGGCGAGCACAGCACCAGCTCGAGCACGGGCTCCGGCGGCACCCTAGAAGAGGAGGTGGGTCTGCGGTCCCGGGACTTGTCCCGCGAAGTGCACGCGGAGGTGGGCGTGGAGGAGGGCGCTGGGGGTCACTCTCGCCGCGTGGGGTCTGGCAATCACTCCCGGCGCCTTCCCGCCGCTGCCCTTCGCCCCGGAGGAGCAGCCAGTGTCCGGCGGGCGGGGATGTGCGGCCCGGACTACCTCACCGGGCGGGCATTGTCTCCCCGCCCTCGCAAGCTCGGGGCGGGCCGCCCGCCATCCGCGGTGGGTGCGTCCCGCCGTGGGCTAGCGGCGCCGCGCCCGCGCGTTCTCGCTCTCCACGCGTCCTCTCTTCCCATGCCGGGCCCGGCTAGCTGCCCTTCTGCGATACGCTCCTCCCGCGTGGCCGGAACTATTGCCTCGCCTGGAAGCAGGTCCTCAGAAATTAGCACCGCCGGCGGGTGGCACCTTTAGCCGCTTACTCTTTCCACCTTGATCCCTCCCGGTGACCTTGGAAGCCTGGGCCAGCAACCCAGCACCTCGGTTCACCAGCATTGTGGTCACGCAGTATAGGTGGGTTTTCTTCGCAGCCCCAGAACTTGGGCATTGGGTGAAAGATCAGCCGGGAATTGGGGTTAAGAAGATGACTAAAGACCCTCTGCTCCCAACTTTTCTTCCCTCCGGTTTTGCTGCGGCAGCGAAGCCAGGACCCCAAAGCTGGCCTGAGTTTCTACAAGGAGAAGCAACATCTTGTCCGCCAGCCATGTGCTGAGAGGAGGGAGTATGAGGCGCTGTCTTGGAACCACCAGCAGCTGGGAGGATAATGGGATGGTGAAATCGGGAAAGATGTGTGTGTGGGGTGGGATGGTGGATTTAAAAAAAAGCCTTAAAACTATCAGAGAATGAGGATCAGAGACTAGGCCGGCAGACTGGTGTGGATGGGGGTTAGGGTTCCCATCCGCCTGGAAGGGGCCCTGGCCTCTGCTGTGTCACTCCCAGCTGAGAGACCCTTCCTGCCCCACCCTGGCATGCCTTTGCCCAGGAAACCAAGGGCCAGTTATCAACCCTGAGCTTCTTTCCCCTTGGGATGGTGGAGAAACCGCAGAACCCCTTCTGGGGGCTGGTGTTGCTGCCTCCCTCCGGTCCTGTGGCGGTGGCTGGTGATGCTGTGGGTTTGCAGAATGCCCAGGACGGCCCATGACTGGTTTCCACAACACTGGGATGGTGTGGGGGGCTCTCACTTGAAGTTCCCACTTTTAGCTCCTTAGAGGCCTGTTGCCAGCCTTAGTCCAGCAATGGCATGACACCTTAAGAATCTAGGTTGGGAACCTGCCTTTGCGAGGGTGCTGATAAACAGTTCTTTACCCTGAGGGGTGTGGCCATTAGTGGCTCTAGTGCTGGCGGATTGTTTTGGCCTCTGAAGGCCTTGTCCACCTTGGACCTTGATGCTGACAGGTTTTGGGGGACTTTAACCATCCTGACTCCACCTGACTGTTCAGAAACTACCCTGTGAGTTTGGAGAGGGCGACATCATTGCCAGTGTGAAGAGCTCTGCTCGGCATGCATAGACAGCACTCCAGAGGGCTGACTTCATACCATCCAGGGGATTGGGGCTGGGCTGCCCCTCAAACCCACTGCTCTGGAGTGGGAAGGATGAACCATGTGGCCAGGTTAGAATCTTAAGAGAATGCAGTTGAGGTCATTTGTTAAAAAGTGGAATCCCTATTCCTCTTCAGGCTGCAGCACTGTGGTATACTAGAACATCAAGGTGCTTGCAGAGGGGTGTGGGCTTATGTTTAGCAGAGGTGCAGAGGTCTGAAATGAATGGCCTGGAGCCCAGTGTCTACTCTGGTCAAGTAAGAGCAAGAGTTGACCCCTCTCCTCACCAGCTTTTTGAACAATAGGTCAAGGGCTCCTTTTCTGGGGTCTCTTATTTTGGATATTGGTGGTTTGGGTTGGAACTGGACTCTTCCTTCCAGCTTAGATGGCCCATAGGCAGGCAGTTCCCCCAAGAGTCACTGCCTAGGGAATCTGCGTTAGCTGTGGTTTACTCTCATAGCTGACCCAGGCTGACTCTCCCAACTGACTGTTGAGTAGCTAGAGTAAGTATAGAAAACTAGGGAACCCTACTGCCCACATAGTGCCTTAATTCTTAAAAGTGTTAGGTTGCTGGAGAAAGGTGTGTTTTCATGGTCTTGGGAAGATACCAGTGGGACTGCTTGTTTTCTGGAGTCCCTGGGTGGTGCAAATGGTTAAGTGCTTGACTGCTAACTACCTGAAGGGTTGACAGTTCAAACCCACCCAGAGGCACCTCAGAAGAAAGGCCTGGTGATCTGTTTCCAAAAGGCCACAGCCTTGAAAACCTTATGGGGTGCAGTTCTACTCTGCACATGTGGGGTTGGCATGGGTCAGAATCAACTTGTTGGCAGCGGGTAGGGCTGTCTTCTTAATCTGCTTTGTGTAGTTTTGACTTGCCTTGTTTACCCATCCTACCCATGAGACCTCACCCATATCATAATCATTGGTTCCTTTTCTGGACCCAGGGATTAAGAATGCAGGTGAAAAGTTTGTAGACTGGGAGGTGAGAAGGATTTGTAAGGAAGTGATATGGTCTGTTAAGTGCAATGATATGTATAACGGGATATTAGTGCATAGTACATTGGTGCCACTAAGAGGTTAGAAATCAGCCCTCCCTAAGATGAGGATGAGTAAGTTGTTAGACTTGTAGGGGTGGGAAGGGCATTCCAGGAAGAGGGAGTAGCATGTGCAAAGAGGGGAGTAGATGATGGAACCAAATGGCTCCTCTGGATAAATACTAGAGTTCGGTGCATTGCAGCAATATCGGGGCCAGGTTATGAAGATCCTGAGATCTTGGTGGTGTGGAAGAGCATTTTTCATTCACTTGGGAACTTAAGGAGAACAAACAGAAGGGGTTTCAGGGGAGGTGCTCAGTATCCTGTTTTAATCTTAAAACAAGGCTAGAGGCTGTAGCTCTCTCCCACATGGATCTGTGGCTGGTGCTGGCGCTCCAGGAGGTGAGATAAAGCAAATGACCCTTCTCTGGGCAGGCTCTTTGAGGAGGGATGACTGGGGAAAGGTATGTGTGGTTTGAAAATGTAGTCTGTGTTGGCAGTGGAAAGTCAATTACAGTAATTGTTAATTGGGAGAGTATTTCTGGGGGAATGATGGTATTTAGATCTTTGGGTTGAGGTGGAGGTACATGTTTCTAAGAGTTGAAGTTTTGTGATAGCCTAATGGTGAGCTTTAAAAAGGCAATGGTTAATGGCAGTTAAGGAGGCTACAACTTGACCAGCCACTTCCTACCCCATCTTTGCTTGTCCATTGCATCCAGCTTAGCTGGGCCAAGGAAGCTCCTTACAGGCCTGCTACCCCAGGGTACCCTGCATTGGGCTCTGAGGAAATGGTCAATTAACCTTCTAGGTCAGTGTGAAGGAATTCTGGGCTCCAGTGTATGACTTGGGTGCCTTCACTTTTCTCTGTCATCAAAAGTGTCTCCAAGAATATGAGACATTCTGACTGTGAGGGATGGTTGGGAACTTCTATGCTTCTGGGCTCCTCATTAGAAGCAGGGTCCAGGGCTGTGGATTCAGGCAGATTTTTGATAAGAGATCAGGCTCCCTTCCTCCCTGGGCATTGCTGTGGATATGTCTCCTCTGCTCAAATACCCAATATATTGAAAGGCTGTACTAATAATAGTAAACCCGTATATGGTGTTATGCCAGGCATTGTCCTAAACACTTTACCATTTTAGCTCATTTAACCTTCACAGCAGTACTATGAAGTAGGTGTGTTACTATAACCCTTTTATAAATGAGGAAACTGAAGCATAGAGAGGTTTAGTAACTTTTGTGTAGCTGTTAAGTGGTGGAATTGGGATTTAAACCCAGAGTTTGTGCTCTTAACCACACATTACCTGCTGCTCTGTTTTTTATTAGGGTTTTTGGCAAGATTTAGGCATGAAGGGGAGAGAAGATCTCTGCAACTAAAGCTTTTGAGGACTGAGCCTTGGAGAATGCCAGTGTCCTAAACAGAAGCCCAGAGACTGGCCAAAGGCTACTTTCTTTTGGGCTGGTGACATCCTAAGACCGGATGATGGAAGCTATTGGCTCCTGCCAGGAGACGTATTTTATCACCAATATTGTTTAGAATTGCTACCACATGTTGATGATAAAGGAGCTCTGGTGGTGTAGTACCTAAGGCATTTGACTACTAACCAGAAGGCTGGTGCTTCAAACCCACTAGCCAATCCTCGGATGGAAGATTGGGCAATCTACTTCCACAATGATACCACCATGGAAACCCAAGGAGGGGTCACTATGAGTCAAATCTGACTCAACAGCAGTGAGTTGATAATAAAAAGACCAAGTCAGTTTTTTAAAATTAATTTTAAAATTCTCAACAACCTTTGTTGCTTGTACCAAAGACCAACTGTGTTCACCTTCCTTTGTGGTACCCCTCTGCTTTGGGCATCTTATTAAGCAGTATGGTAGGTGGCAACCTTACAGGTTGCCCTGTAAGAACAAGTTTCTAAATCCCATTCAGAGTTTGGTGAATGGTGGTTCCTTCTCATCCCCATTTCAGGGTGGGGCTGGTGAGTGCTGCAGGTGGAGGCAAGATGTGGCCTGCCGGATGCTGTGCCTTTGCTTCGCTCTCACATTCTCTTTCTTATCCCACTGGGCCTCCAGACAGTCCTGGAGGTAGAGAAGGAGACAGTCCTGCCTGTCCTGGCCTAAGACCACTCTCCTCTGGTTACAGAGCTGAACTGGAGTGTGCTAGGTCCTGGCACAGCCCTCTGGCCCCAACCTCTGTCCATTGATCAGAGACAGCAGCCACATCTGGTGCCTTGTCAGTTCTTCTGCCGTCCTCTGACCATGGCTGCCCAAGTGGAGTTCTCATGCCCCTGGCAAAGCTGTGGGACAGGCAGGGCCTGTCACCTACACTTCAGAAATCATGCTGCCATGAGATGGGAACTACAAACAGCCCACAAGCCTTCATGTGTCAGAACACCTGCACTGCCT